TGTCTGATTAGTTGAGGTGAGCAACTGGTAATGTAGACAAAATGAGAAAAATTCAAGCCACAGAAGATTTTCTGAGGTGTTTTTCAATCTGCAATGGTATGTATGAGAAGTGCAAAAAATGAAGAAATCTGCTGACCCAAGATGAGTTATGAGTGGATTGGACAACCGTAGTCTACAGAATAGGGAAGGGGATGCAATGGATGGAATCCTATCCTATATAGAATAACAAAGTGCATAACCGATAATCAACTGGTTAGTCTAAGGTAAGCTATGATAGTCTGCTGAATGCGACAAATGTTGAATTGACAGCCAGCTACCTGGTCTAGACTTGTATACCGGAGGGCTACAGAATGTAAACCAAATCAGGAGTAGCTCGGTCGTTTGACTTGGGATCAAGTGCTACGCCAAAACGGCGTTGCATGTCTAGGCAAAGATGTGTTCAGAGCTGAGGTTTGCTCGATTCTTTCTTTGAGAGAGCATTTCTTTCAGTTTGCTATGGGCCAATATACGTGCGATTTTTTACATTAACACTGGAAAGAAAAATGCAATGAGGTATTCAACACTGTAAACTAACACTTTACCTGTTTTCTGATCAAACCAGCCACAAACTTCTTGATAGGTTTGATGAACTGAGCCTCTGATACTAGTGCTACCTGTAACTCAGAGATATTCTCCTGACAACCTGAAGCGAGAAAAGTGTAATCATTTCAATACAGAGCATCTTTAAAATAAGGTCACTTTCCAAGTTGGATAAAGTCTGGGTCTGGGACATTGGCAGTTTTGCTTCATTTGTAAGAAATCTCAGCTTTTGGTTTGGTATTTATTTGCAACACCTCATCCAAAGATTCTGCAGACTGGAATACCTCGTCCAAGTAACCCAAATTTTGGTATGAAAGAACTGCTAACCCATTAGAAATGCGGGTTTTGCCCAAGTTGCTGAGCGTGCGAGATTGGAAGCGGAGCTCAACTCCTCTCGACTGACTGCAACTCCAACGTTTTCTTCAGGACGCAACTGCACCAAGTAACAAAATTCTTCCACGATGAGTCAATCAAGTGTAAGTTTGCCAAAAGGAATTTCAGTCCCACTTCTGACGCCGAGGTAACTCGTCGCACGTACCGTTGGTCACCCTTGCATATTGCTGGCAGAGTGTGATGAAGTCCTGCATCGCCTCAAGCTGCCTGATGAAGGCCCAGTCCCTGAGGAGTTGCTGGGTGTTGGAATTCAGCACAGTGGACTGCAAATCACGCACAGAGAGGTAACAAAAATATCAGCGACAGAAAAAGTACTGTGTGCCAAGCTCATAGTAAACAATAATTATGTCATCGATCAATAAAATATCACTTGGGGGAGGCCTGAGAATATACAGTTTTTCAAGCTAACTTTTGAAGACTTTTGAAGACTTTTGAAGACTTTTGACATTGAAAACAGTTTTAAAATGCTGCAGTAAAATCCTGAAAAATGGGGAAAAATTTGTTAGAAGACCTCAGCTACAAGTAATCGTTTAAAGGATTCATTATTGGGTTGAGATTGGTTCGGGGCGGGACAGCATTTGAGAGTTACAATCTCCATTCTCTTCCGTTGGCAAACTTACAAACTTCACTGAATTTTCAACATCAAAATTAAACTCCTGAAAGTATCTTCTGCCCCGCATATAATTATCTCTCATTCACAATTTACATTTGGTATCACATAAACACAAATTCATTTGGAAGATTCAATAAAAATCACTGCTAAATAATCACACAACACAAACTGGCGATCCCAAGAGTGCCAAAAGAACCGAGTCCTTGTTGCCTGGTGCCAAATGAATATTTACAAAGGGATGGTAAGTTCCCTTTTTCCCATGACACCCTGCAGGTACAAAAGTTTTTCTGCAATGGGCATCACTCATTTTCAAATCTTCAAACTTTCACTTCTTGAAGGATAAACAATTCTCAGAGTTTCTACAAGCCTGGCGCCCACCTGCATCTTCTTGGCCTCCTGAATGACGTCCATCCTCCTCCACTGCGGCGGCACCGACAGCTGCTCCATCGTGGCCACAAACTCCTGGATAGCTGCCTCCACCTTGGCAAAGGGTGCGCTGAGCAGGGCCAGGAGTACCTGGCCCTGGGTGGGGGCCTGGGGCGGCGGTGGGGGGACGGTGGCGGTGGAAGGGTCCCCGGTACTGCCCGCTTGCAGGAGGGAGTTGAACCTGCTGCGTAGCATTTCCACAACGCTTGTTGAGATCAGATCGCCCTGGAGGTTGACACCGAAGGTCATACAGTCAGACTCGGCTACAATGGACATGGCTTTAATGAGCATCACAACAGATCTACACCAATTAACAGGGTCCCAAAGTGTTGGCATTCAGTATCTCTGGCATCCATATGAAATCACAAACCGTCAGACCACTGAGAAGGTACACTACCATCATGATGTGCACATCCATCAATGTAAACAAATCCTGTAACCATGATCAGACTGTTGGACCTTCCTGAGGACCCCCTTCAATGGCTAAAAGCAGCGCCGTGTATAGAGAGTTGCGACATGAGTGTCACCATTGTTGGAGACAAACTGGCAGTGTATGCGCCAGTGCATAAGGACAGTTAATATACAGTAGCTGCACACTCTGCTGTACACATAATGAACGGCCATTTTGTTTCCAAAATCTCAAGCTGGTGCTGCTCTCTCTAAATGCAGCTCTGGTGAAAACCCAATGTGATAACTATTGTCCGCAAGTGAGTGTTCCAAGGAGGTCCTTCGAACAAAACCCAACACAATATTATCCACCACTGAGGGGCCCATTGGAAACCTCCAGTGACAATATCATTGAATTCGTCTATTGGAGTTTATATCATTTTTATTTAACAATAAAAGCAAACTTCAACTGAATCTTTCCAACCTCCATGCCAAGCGTCACACTGGTCAGGTCCTGTTCAATCTGCTGTAGCACCCTGGGAAGGAGTGAGGGGCCATCGCACAACTCCCGGAGGTCCTGGATCACCTTGTCCACCGTGGCGTCCCCTGACTGCAGGCCAGCGATGGCCCGTGGCAGGATGGTTTTGCGGTACTGGCTATGGACGTTCTGCAGGGCTTCGTAGACCAAGCGGATTAGCCTGAAGCAATCAAGAGCGGAGAGGATGGGGCCTGCGTCAAAGCCCTCCGGCTGAAAAAAAAAATCGAATACAAAAGATGATGGAATCACGAAACTTTTGGGTCAAAGGTCAGGAAGGCTAAGACGGGGGCTTCCATCAAATACCTCAGGCCAATTAAAACAGTTGTATTTCCTATTACAATTTTTTTCAAAATCAGCTTGGCAGGTAAGTCAATCATTTTAACTCTTGAATATTTGGGGGGGCAAAACTATTGAGCGGGCCACTGATTAATTATAGTTTTGAGCACTCTTACTTGTAGCACTTCACATGTGACGATGTCACATTCAAAACTGTAATGATAATGTTGATACTAATATCAGACTTGCATAATCAATGGTTAAGTGGTTAAAGAACGTAACATTTTGATAGCAGATCGTATACTGTGAGCACATACACGGAAAAGAGACAGCTTCTTGTTGTTTTTCAAAGGCAAACCTTGTTTTGTGGGGGTAATCTTCCCCAGTTCACGACAATGCCCAAGCATAGTTTGTCTTGCATGGCTGGTTTTAGATCTGAAACTTCAACCCTGACGTCCTGTTTCAGAATGTACGTAGCGGCAGATCTGACGTTTGTTCCTATGGCCATGTTTCGGCGTACAGACAATCAACTTTGTCACAGGTTGGCTGTTGTTCCTGTAGTAGTGACCAGGTAAGAGTGTTCTTCTCGTGGGAATTGCCAGGCAAACTATAACGCTTAAATCCTGTATGATCCCCTGTCCCTCTTGAGTAGGGTTTACATCACAAGCTGAAAGACCCTGTGTGTAATCCAAAACCTTGGACGGGGAACTTACCCATTGACAACCGCTGACCAGGTTGACAATGACGTCTAGGTTGGCTATCATGCTACACAGTTCCTCCAGGAACCAGTTACCATTACGGGAGGTGAAGTCGACCAACAGGTCCCCAGCACCTGTGGTAAGTACACGGGTCCGTTTACGTTCAATCAGGTGAACTTACCGGTCATTTTACGTGAATGGAAAAAAAGCCATCTTCACCGTGATCTTGTAAAAATTCAGGTGTTACTGCTGCATATGGGGAACTTCAGTTCAATTGAAATTTTTGAAATGGGCCCTGTTGTGATGTAGTCACGCCACGCAAATCTTGGCAAAATGGCACAATGTCTGTTTCAATTTGCTAACACTGATGCTTCTCTAGACTAGCTATATAGTGACATGCTTTATACTCTAACCACAAATGTATATATGTGTGTCTGGGTTTACAACATGTACTTTAACAATGGGTGATACCTGCAACAGCTCCTTCCATGATGCGTGATCTTTGGCTGAATGAGCAGAGGGCATTCATCAAGACCGCTGTTAGCGTCATCACGCCTGCATCACCATTCTCTGGTGGTTGGGAAAAAAAAAAAAGAGTCCAATCTTGCAGACTCGAGTTACTTAGACTTGAGTTGGACTCGAGTCGCTATTTTTGTGACTCGTGACTTGTAACTATCGTTTTTTGACTTGCGACTTTACTTCGACTTGCAAAAACTGACTTGTGACTTGACTTGGACTTGCGCATTATGACTTGTTACCAGCGCAAGTCAGAAAACTACTCAATCGAAATCACTGCAGTTTTAAACTAGGCCTATCAACGTAACTTATACCTTGCGGCCTCAAAATAATGTTGTTGAATTTAATCCAAAAACGGCGTCCCAATTTCGAAGGCCGAAACTTTCCGCATTAAGTGTCAGATTCAGGTGGTTGTAACATGCCTTCAAGACATGCTTATAGATTATTTTTATAACAGCTACCCATATTCAGACATCTGTTGAGCATTCACCCCGTAAATTTCCAGTTTGGGGGAGAAATGGGCCAAATATTTAGTACTAAAGCGAGCAGAGACAAGAGAGTTGTCAGACACCCTGGAAATGCTTCCAAACCCCCTCTCTTCAGATCAAAGTCACAGTATAATATTCAGACATCAACGTCCAGAGTGAACAAAAAGTATGACAGCCTGCGCTCAACTTCAGGGAGCTGCTGAGCAGGAAACCCTGTCTGGCAGAATTAAGCAGAGAACCAATCTAGAGTAATATGCTTTTCACTGAACTTTGGCCGGTAACTTGTTTCTGCTGAGCATATATTTTCTATGCTAGCAAAGTTCTGTGTTTTCTTAACTCCATAAATCAGGCCTCTTGTAAGCTGGGAAATTTATGAAGTGAAACAAGTTTGAGGGCCTGACATATCGATTCTTGCAGAATCTTTCATGAAAGCAAAACATTTGTTTTGGTTAAATATTCTGCTGGGATAGGCTTTCTGTTTACTTTAGATCACTGCGGATTGCGTAAGTTTTCTATTTTACATTTCTGGAAATGTTCGTTACGCTTGAGACATACCTTTGACAAAGCTGCATATCTCGGCGTAGGTCTGCTGCAGCGCCCCTTCCGACTGGGCCAAGTTGGCCTGCGGCATCGTGGCCTCCATGGCCTTGACCAGCTTGGCGTTGGCTTCTGTCATCAGGCCGTTCAGGGCTTCCTCTGTGGCCGCCGCTGCCTTGGTGTGGGCCGGGGTTGGGGCGCTGTACTTGGCCTTGAACCTGACCTGCAGCACTTGGCACCTGGGATGCGGAAAGGGAAAAACAGTCAGACAAAGATGGTGACATGACGCGGTAAATGCATGTTAACGTTTTCTGGTGAGTTACATGCACATTAACAATCAGCATAGGAACTAATCATCGGCAATACACATCTCTTGATATCTTGACTGGTAATCTGACTCTACTGAGCAGATATTTTCTGTGCTTTGCAGCTCTTTTCAATCCACTCTTAGGTGTGAATTTCACTTACTTTGATGACGTGAAATCACAGACAAGTTCCTGAAGCCAGGTCTGCCATACGTAAGCCCGATTCATCTCCGCAAAGTTGGTTGGGAACTAAAATTGAAATACATTCCATTTTATCACAAGAATAGGTCGATTTTTCTATTCTTTGAAGCTTTTAACGTTTGTCTCTTAACTTTACCTTGAAGTTTACCTCATGCAGCAAAACTTCCCAGCAATGTAACTTTGAAGTGTTTTTTTTTTCTCTTTCAAAGATCTTCCTGGTCTTTTGTCTGTCATTCTTAAGGCAAGCAGTTAGACCCCCTGCTCTGCTCTGCTGTACAGTCAAGATTGAGGCAGCATGCATAAGGCCTTCCGTTACCTGTCTTGCCATGTTGCAGTAAGTCTGTAAGATCTCCACACAACCTTGAAGCATGGTGCGTCGCTGCTGCAACAGGCCGCTCAGTTCCGTCTCAAGGTGCTCACACTACAACAAACACGCACAACGCGGGTACAGTTTACACAAGCAGACCGTTAGCACAGTGACAAACCTCAGTAAAAACAACTCTAACGAGGTCAACTCTAAACTTACAAATTTTACGCTGATGTTTTTAAGAGCTGAGACTGAAAATTAACAAACCATTGATTGAGTTGACTGGTGCAGCAAATTCTTACCTGCCCGATGATTTGCGTCTGTCCAGCAGAAGTCAGGAATTTTACACACGGCGCGTACGGTGCTGGACCTGTAGACAGAATCATTCGCTGTAATCAATGCTTGAATACGGAACTTAAGAATAAAAATGACTAGAGGATAAATGTGGACATACTGAAGTGGCAACTACGCCATCATTTCTGGGTGGTTTTGGCACACACTGCTGGAGGTAATTTGCATGCAACTTGAAAGAAACAAAAAACGAGGAAACTCCAATTTTTGCAACAATTTGTACAGTAATTTTCAATTTTCAATGTTGCAAGTCTGAAGTGCAAAATGAGGAAATCAGCGGATCCGAAGAACAGTTGCATGTCTGAATACAGAATTCCTTTGATTGTAACTTTATTTTGTCTTGTATCTCCAGGCCCGATCCACTGCTACGGGGGGCATAGATGGGTTAACCCAACCTTGCACACAGCCAAAATTCCCCAGAACTCAAAGTGAACCTGGGGTTTAGGGGTATAGGATTTCTGACAACAGCGGAAACCAAACGCATGGAGTAGCCCTGTTGTTCCAGCATCAGTACAGATTCGTAAGTTTAAACAATATTCATTGTTGATTTTTTCTGCCCCCCCCCCACTCTGCCCTGCCGCCTATCCTGGACACTACCTGCACCAGACAATGGACAGTTGTGGCATGCTTGCGTTCCAGGGTCTATTCTCATTCCTGCGTTCCAGGGTCTATTCTCATTCCACGCAGTGCAAAACCAGCCCGGGGGGGGGGTGGTGTGGGGCTGCTTTTAACTTGCATTAAGCAGGGAGGTTGGAGTTGATTTTAATACATGGGCAGATGGGATTCGTGCAAGGTCATCAGCTTTCTTTGCATGCTCAGGATCAGGTATTTCTTCAATGTAAAACTGAGCCAATGGTGGCAACCACAGTGACATTGGATGAGGTTGCGAGTGTGACTTAAATGCATTCCTGGGCATAACAAAAGTGGCCTCTTTTCCTTATCCCTTTGAGCTCAGAGTTCCTCTTCCAGGAACTCACCCAGGTCCAGGTCTTTCTCCGTCTCCTGGCTGATGGCCGTCAGGTGGTTACCCCTGGCCGTCTCCAGGGCCAACTTGTGCTGGATGTGCCAGAGGTCCAGCTCGCGCAGCTTGTCCTGGATGGCCTGGGAGGTGGCCACCCGGGCATCTTCCACCTGCTGACACTCCCTGTACCTGAAAATGAATAAAAACACAGAAATAACGATGGGTAAGGACACAACCCATCATCCCACAGGTTGTAGTGGCCCACACCATTCAGAGCTGAGGAATGGCACATGGTTTGTTGCAATTTCCAGCAGAATGAGCACAAGATCACTGCATTTGAGCATTTGGCAATTTTAAACAAATTGTGCACCCAATCACCGCATCTTAGTATCTGACTATTTTCAACTAGAAATGCATCCAATCACTCCACTGTAGTAATTGACAGTTTTCAACTGTGCACAAGATCACTTCATCTCTATATTTGTCAGTGTTCAACTGAATGTGAACAACATGCATCTTATTTGGTTATTTTCAACTAAATGTGCACAAAATCACTGCATCTTTACTATTTGCCAATCCTTCACTGAGTGAATTTGCTCTGAAACATGTCAGACACAAACACTGTCAAGTCTGAGCAGGAACTGAAGTGTCCAGTTTCTAATCGCAGTGGTAAGTTTCTACTTGGCACACAGATCGTCAGCACATCGATGACATCATTGCTTGTGAGTACAAAACTTTCAGCACCATTTTAACATTCCTACGTTGGTTCAGCTGCAGGTATGATACACCATTCAGCAAAGACAAACAAGCATTACATGTGTCAGTATCTATGCTCTGGTATGTATCACGCACCTCAGGCTACAACTGACTCACAATCCAAACAGATAACCAACCGCATCAGGTCTACCATAACACTGACCGACTGCGGCTTACCACAAAAGTCAAACTTCATTTCGTCTTCATTTCTCTCACCTGATCTGCAGTGTATGCAGGGCGTGGTTCTTGTCATTGAGCGCACCCTGAAGGACTCTGGAGTGCTGGGTGTACTGGTCGGTACCGTCCTCCAGTATCTTGCTCTCTTGCACGGCATCGAGGTACGTGGTCAGCTGCTCCTCCAGATTGGACAGGGCATCCAGCATGTCATCTCTGGGAAGCAAGATACAATAGTATACCATTAGGTTAAATTCAACTAGCTGCTTAAAAGCTAAGCAAGTCACTCCCTCACTGTCTTAGCCTACTCTTCACACCTGCACAAATAGAGGATATTACACAACTGAGTTTTTCCCAAAAGGGCTTAAAGCAATAATACCATTTGGGGGGGGCTTACAGTGCACCATTTTAAGGACCAGATTTTATCCGAAGGTGATAGTGTGCTACATCAACATTTGAACAGCATTCTACACTCTTGCCCTTTAAAAGGCCCATTCACGACTGCAAGAAGCCAAAGAGGAAAAGTTGATACACAGGTTGTACAGAAAGCTAAGAACTCTATGCAAGAACTGGAGATGGTATTGTTGGGCCAATTCCCAAGAGCCCTGGACACACCATGTGTGGGTATTGGAGAGTTAGTGACCGATTTTCAGTGGAATGTGTACAAAACTTGCATAGTATTTGTGATGGAGAAATGCAACTGGGCTTAGACGCTTCAGTACCCATCAGTAACAATGTAAATGTTGTACAATAATTGCAGACATTATTTTTATGCCTCTAATTGAAACTTAGTGACACTTTGGCTTATCGATAACTTCTGAAAGAGACCTCATTTGAATGAGCAACTGCAAGAGAACACAGGTAATGCACTGTACTCAGCATCTACGGATGACTGATCTGAGGGACGGCTCTCTCTGAGAGACACACCTGTTCTTGAACCAGGGCCCCTTCATCTCGGCCACTCGGGAGGAGAAGAGGCTCCTGGTGATGTCCCGCTCCATCTCCCGCTTGCCCTGCCCGCTGTCGGCCACCACGGGGTTCATCTGGCCCCCGCCGTAGACAGCACTGGCAAAGCCCCCCTCGTTGGCTGTGGTCCAGTCCACCAGGGGGTCATAGACAAAGGCCTCCAGCAGGGTCAGGAGGGTCTCCCGCCCCTTGCGCATGATCTTCAGCACCTCTTCAGCCGATTGGCGGAAGGTTCCCTAATTTAAACATAATGTCACACAAAGCGGGTCAACACCTAGATCTTTGAGGCATTAGGCCCAATGCCACAAGTAGTCAGATTCATGTCAAAGAGTGTGTTTAAATAAAGTTACAACTTTCAGAAGTCATATATGATTTCATACTAATATTTTTCTATCCAAACTATTCAGTCCATAACTAAAACCTGAAATTTGGGAGATGCCCTTCCTGTGATGACACAACTCAGGTACAATCTCTCAAGAACTTCAGGCACAGGCTTCTTGGTATTAAGCCACAAACATGTTGATGGCATTAAACGTCTGCATACAATAGTATGTCACGGCTTTTGATTCTGGTTACCAGATTAGTCTGTGGTTTTAACGCTCTATCTAGACTTAGGCTGCATCCGAATCTCTTGTCTAGAGCTAGGTCTAGGTCTTCGCTCCATTAGAAATGCGTGGAGATGCGTAGACAATAGACCTAGCCGTAGCTCTGGAAGCCCGTTTTGAACACGGCCTTACACTAAAACCAACCTACACGTACAATCAATCAAAATCAATCAGCAAGAACAATGTCTGCAATTAACAAACTAATCACCAGTATTCTTGAACAGAAGTGGACCGTCTTACGTTTGTGACTCCCAAAATGTAAGATGCATATCAAATCTAACGGCTTCTGGATGCAACAGCGTAGAAGAGAAGAGAGCAACATAGAAACTCCAGCATGACTGTCAACCTACCTCTACGCCGGTCACACCCAGAGCTGTCTGTATGTTCTGTGTCATCCTGAACGGTACTCTCTCTGGCACACGTAGGTTCTTGCCCTTCTCAAAGCACACGTTGTAGTCAATGTGTACCACCTGGGCCAGACAGTCACAAGTCAACAAGACAAGTACGTTAAAGCCCGTTATGACACGCGCCGTCAATAGGCTTCAGTTTAGGCCAACAGGGAAGCATGTGTATCGGGTCCATCAATCTTCAACATCTGCTACGTTAGAAGAGGAGTTGCCATGAATTCCGAGATAAGCTAACACAACAAGACAGGTGCTGAGCTGACATTGGCAAGTAGTATTATACTGCTGCTATCATCTGATGCAACCAGGTTTGCCGGTAACAAGAAACCTGTCTTCATTTGTAAACTTTAATTGTGACGGGTCTCGTAGCAACTGGGCCAACTTCACAAACTTTATTCACTGATGGCAGACAAGATGTACAAATTACAACTGGAAAAACGTACATTCGGCAATTTGATGACCAGTGAGTGCTACAGTTTACATACACTTGGAGATTTCTACTTTTGCATCATTATTTTAAGCGAATTCTGCCTCTGGTTGACATAATAAGACCATGTTGAAATGAAGGGATGTTGTTTAAGACTAGGACTCTCCGTCATTGTACATCTATGGCAAAATCCTAAGCCTCAGTCATACAAAATTCAATTTGGACAGTGACTAGGCATGAAATGAGGTGAGAGACTTGGATCTCTCATTTGATTTTTCAGCACCTTGGGGGAAAACGGTTTAGTATTGACATCTGTGAATCTTACATCCCCTGTCAGGAAGTTGACCAGGACGTTGTCAAGGTGACGGTCACCAAGGCCGATGATGTAGCCAATGACAGACATGACAGCGGTGGAGCGGGAGTAAGCCTGGGTGATGTGCCACCACTCGGAGGAGCTGCCACTGGAACACCACAGCTCCCTAATGGGAATGGGGGGGGCAGGGATTAAAATGATGGGTAGTTAGTCATTCTTGCCTTGTCCGAATCACTTGGCTTTGGCTTAAAATTATGCACAAGTCTATGGCAGCA